CACAGTACGGCATTAGATCTATCAAGTTTGAAGTCACTTAATTTGTGGTATTTTTGTTGCTAAAAATACTTTGAGAAACACTTGACAATAGGTCTCAAAAGAGCGGACATGAGCGGTTATGAGTAGGTTGGGTCTGATGTCACCTTTAATGCCATACCATGGAGCATTCTAGGCAAACAGTATTATCTTCATGAGCAGGTAGCAGACCCTCTGGAGAAGTTACACAGTGCACTTTGTTTTTAATGAGCGGAAAATCATCTAAACCACAAACTTCTCCTGATTTGAATTCAAAGCACGACTTCCACTAAATCTGTATAAAATCAAAATTGGCGTCACGTTTAAAGTTGCTGCGATGACAAAGTGCAGCGCCGAGGAGTAAATGGAACAACTCCACTTGAAGGAGGAGACGTGACTTTGAAATAACCACAATCAAAACTCCTCCGCCACCGCTGCCTCTGCTCCATAATACAGTCAAATTAAACCTGCGCCAATTAGCAACATGTGTCAGCTCCGCCGCGCCGCAAACAAAACAAGCGGAGTGACAGCGGCGTCAGAGGAGGGCTGTTAAGCACTAATTGCAGGTGCATCGGGACAATTAAAGCACTTTACTACGGTAGCAGAACAAGAGGAGGGATCAAACCCGTGTAGGCTGCAGACACAAAATGGCCGCCGTGGATTTTGACAATCTTGGGGGCAGATTGGAATCGTTGTCCTTGCGAGTTTGAAGAGGCGTCAAGGTCCATGGGGTTCGTGTGCAGCTAGGAAGAACAAATAAAAACATGTAAAATCACAGATAAAGTGTTGCAAAAGTATCGAAAATCAGATACTTATCAATACTAAACCTAGTATTGAACTAGATACACATTTAAGCGGGTATTGATACTTAAAAAAGTGACATTCACATGACAGAAATCAACCTTGAATAGCTTTAGAATGATCTTGAGCTGTATAACTGCTGTGGTCTCTTGAGCTTGCAAGTATAACAGATATAGGATCATATGGTAATATAAAACAAAGGCTATGTTCAGACTGCAGGGCTTAATGCTCAATACAGATTTTTTTTGTGAAATCCAATTTTTTACGAGGTTGTTCACATTTCCAGTTAAAGGTTGTATAGAGGATTTTTTAAAGGGAAAAGAAATACAGCGACAGTCCTTTTTCAAATGTTGTGCATGCCTGACACCACCTTCCTCCTCCGCACCTCCCTCAGTAGAAACATCTCCTCCCGCCTCCTTACTCTTGAAATCAAGCTTGTTTACAGCCAGTACGCGTTCAGAATTACTGCTGAAGTGACCTGTCTAGAAATAATTTTGTGTCAGTTTTTAGACCCTTTGTCTGCTTCATTTGCGCAATTGCTGGAAGAGATCTCCAAGAATCACATGCTTTGCTCCTTTTCCCCTTCTCTACTTCTTTGAGTGACCTGGTTGTAGATTCTTGTCCACCAAACTTTGTGCGAACTGCGAGGAAACTACAGTTTAAAAAAGCCTCTAAGAACCGCTGCATAAACCACATAATCCCTGCATGCCGGCGAGTCAGTTACACTAAAAACGTAGGGAGTTTGATTGACAACCTAACAGCAAACAGAAAATGAGGCAGCCTTGTTATCTATTGGCTGATGTTTATCTGCTCTCACTATGTCCACAGTTGAAAGATTTTCATTCTTTTTTTTAGTCAACATAATTACAAGGCTGCTGCATCTCTGTAATGGTATTTTAAATGTTCATTGACAATTTGAAACAAAAAAAAATAAAAAATCCTCCATACAACCTTTAAATCTGACTTGTATGTGATCTCCAGTGTGAACTTTAAACTCCCCAAAAGTGTCCCACATGCGCATTGGAGGACACGACGGCTTCACACGCAGTGAGCGTGCTCAGTAGCCTAAACATCAGGCTTGTCTCCCAAAAGTTCTTCGTGAAATGGATAGGTTACACGACCACGACCAATTCATTTAAGTCTTTAGCCTCCTTGTATTTGGCTCACAGGCTCTTTATTTTTTGACACTGGAGCCTCACTTGGCCATTTCTTTTTCAATCATTTCAAAAATCACCTTGTTCCAATAAGACCCCTCCAATTTGGCCTGAATACAGCAATGCTCCTAAGTATTGATAAACTTGCTAACCTCACCTTCCCTGTGACCTGGCCATTCAATTGAAGTTGTACGTCAAAAAATCAGATATGTATTGGTTTTAGGACCACATATCCAAGTGGCCTCAATCGCATTTGAAAAGATCAGATCTGTGTCGTTCAGACTGTCATGAAAAGATCAGATACAGGTCACATAGGAGAGAAAAAATCTGATTTGGGTCTAAGTCTATTCAATAGTATTAAAATCGAGTTTGAAAATCTAGTATTGCAACACTAATTGTTATACTTGGGTAAGAAATTATATCCAAAAATTTAAAATAGGAATGCACTGAAAAAAGTAATTTTAGGAGTCCGAACATTCTCTTGGTCAAGGTTTAGTCCAGAGTTTCATCCCATGCAAATATGAAAGTACCATTACTTGATCTGCACCTACCAAAAACAATAATAATGGCATGCGATGTCAAAATGTAGCATCACAATTGACAACACTACTATTACACCACTTTTGTTTGACTAACATTGCTTGCTTATCTAAAAAGTGGACACTTTGAGGCCTCTCAGTAAAGAACAATGGTGCACTTGTCATATTGTGAGCTGTAGGTGAGTGATAGAGCAGAGGAGGAGGCAGACAATGAGATAAAGTCTGTGGCATCCATCACCATTTGCAGAAGGTCAGTGCAGTGGGCAGTACAACCTCCTCTTTTAAACCTGAGACCTTTGCCATTACAGACATATGATCCTTCCACGTTCATTTAACTGACCTATTAGGACTATTAGCAGGATAAAGTAGAGAGGAGTTGACCGTGGCTTTTTAATTACTTTGACCTGTGAAGTTAAGGCGTTAATGTTCGACCACGCAGTTCAATTAAGAGGAGCGTGACGAACTTTAGAGTACAAGTCTGGGTAGCTACTGGCAAGCTAGTGGAGGAAACTTTTGTGGAACAGTTTAAACGAGGAAATTTCTCAAAAACGTGACTGAGATTTTAAGTAGAAATCAATAAAAAGTCATGAAAAAATATATTTGTTTCAGTGTGAGTAAGTTCAAACATTTTCAGATTCTGTACTATTGTGAGATGAGAACATATTGTCAATAAAAGGCAGAATATTACAGTTTAGATGAATCACCATCACTGATAAAGCTTCCTGTTTCCTATTTTATACTGATGGGGCTTTAAAAAGAATTTAAAGGTGCAATATGTAACTTTTCTAGAAGAGGGTACACTACTTGCTTGGCCGAAAGCAACACCTACTTTCCTCCATGGAGACATCCATCCATCCATCCATCCATTTTTGTCCGCTTATCCGGGGCCGGGTCGCGGGGGCAGCAGCCTAAGCAGGGACTCCCAGACTTCCTTCACCCCAGACACGTCCTCCAGCTCCTCCGGGGGGACCCCGAGGCGTTCCCAGGCCAGCCGAGAGACATAGTCCCTCCAGCGTGTCCTGGGTCTTCCCCGTGGCCTCCTCCCGGTGGGACATGCCCGGAACACCTCCCGAGGGAGGCGCCCAGGAGGCATCCGGAACAGATGCCCGAGCCACCTCAACTGACTCCTCTCGACGTGGAGGAGCAGCGGCTCTACTCCGAGCTCCTCCCGTGTGACTGAGCTCCTCACCCTATCTCTAAGGGAGCGCCCAGCCACCCTGCGGAGGAAACTCATTTCGAGCGCTTGTATCCGCGATCTCGTCCTTTCGGTCACTACCCAGAGCTCATGACCATAGAGACAGATAAGTTTAAAGCCAAACTGTGGAAAATTCTCCATGGAGAGGTGACTAAACCTCCACCGTAAAACATCCACTGTGTAGCATTAAAGTGTACATGTTATGCTGTTTTCTGATCTGTTATAATGTTGTTTCCTCATCAAAACATAACTGGAGTTGTGTTTTGTTCTATTCACACTTGTTCAACTCACAAACTCTGCATATTTAGGCTGGGTTCTTCTAGGGTTCCTACAGGTTTCTTCAAGTTAGATTCAGGACTTTTTAAAGACCATTTATATAAAAACTTAATACCTATTTCACGAGCTATTCCATATACCTACCAACAAAGACAAACAAAATCCTTGAATATGTGTTCATTTAATTCTCAAACAAAGGAATATGGGGAAGTAGAGAGACACTTTCCCAGCATGAAATGTAATACTAAGTAACGTAAAGCGTAAAACCAGCAACATAACGGCATTAATCAAACTTTGTGTTCTGCTGAGATGTTCTTTGATTTTACACCCTTCTGCCGAGCTTGTTGCTTGTGGTGCTGTAGTGTGTCATCTTCAGTGATGTGTTCGGAGTATTTTGACCTGGGGCTGTGTTGCGTTCTCAATTATTGGTTCCGCCACTCTTTATTTAGGCTACGTTATTTAACCAGATAATGGGGGTTGACAAATTAAACTTTTGAGGAGAAAAGCGATACGGAGAAGTTACATACTGCACAAATTTTCAGACCCAGATATAAAAATTCAAGACTTTTTCAAGTCTTTTTAAGGTATTATTTCCAAATTCATGAATTCAATGCTTTTAAGACTTTTTAAGACTCTGCAGGAATCCTGTTCTTCTCTCTGTTCCACCTTTTGATGTCATGTGGTAATTCAGTTCTAGTCTCTACTTGACAAAAGATAAAAGGTAGCTGTTAACTTGAAAACTACTGCTACATGACATCACAAGGTGGAAGAGAGCATTCTGAGCTTTGGAAATGTGACAGTGTAATAATGCAGGATTACGTCTGTGAATGAAAAAAACACAACTCCGGCTATGTTTTAGGTTAGGCAACAACATACTAACATGGCTTAACACAAGACTCTTATCTTGTGTAATATAGGATACATCATTTTTTGATATCAGCATTAAACATTTAGAATCTTACTTCATTTTTTAGTACTATGCCAATACATAACCGCAAGAAGACAAAACATTTTCTATTTGCCTGAATGAAAAAGAAAACAATGCAACTTTATCTTGAACTGGGATGACTCACGGCACCCCACCACTGCCATGATTGAAGAGGAAGCTCCTGTGTCTCTGCTGCTGTCTGCTGGGCTCTGCAAACGGCAACAAGAAACATGGAAGCGTCTCACATATGAAAACTGTGTACATATGTCAAGATGCTAGAGACACTAAAGACATGACAAGTGACAAAAAACACCATGCATCCTCACGCTTTCTCACCACGGGAAGCAACAAGAGACGTGCTAGCTATGCAGAACTATTCCGACTGGCAAAAACAGTACATTAGCTTAACTTTTGTATTAATTACATTCATAAGTGCAATATACGGACACGTGCACTTAGCAAACAAGTGCTAATGAACCACTTGGAACAACATCTGTGCAGCTGTTTAGCACGATGACCGCTAATTAGCATCTCTGGTCTCCATTAGCGCTTGAATTGGCAGCGCTAATGCTAAGAGGCTAATAATAGAAAATGTTTTTAATGTAGGCTATATGGGGTCTCAGGGTCTGTGTGAGACCATCAGGATAAAATCTGCTAAGGGCGACACTGCCGTAACAGCTGTTTAAAGTAAGTATGCTAACATCTGCTGAATTTCTTAACTGCTTTTTGTTTGAAAGTTTAGCCTTGGTAATTTAGTCCTATCATCCAGGGACACTCACCGGCTTGAATATCTGGTGGAAAATGGTTGTTTGCAGTTAATTAAAGCCAGGACAAATTGCACACTGTTATTGCACTAGATCCAATATTAAGATCCGTGGAGCTCATTGATGGCTGCACTGGGAACAATGGGCAGATCTCATGGGAATGGATATAGGCGACTCAACAAAAGAAAGTATCATAAAAGTAGTGTAGGACTGCATTATAGAACTTTTCAAACACTATTTTATATGGGGCAATAAATATCCCTTTACTAAAGTATTGAAGTTAAAGTTGGAATTCTATAGTTACAGTATACCTCATAACATCAGTAACACTCATAACAACTCATATGTCAATAGGCTTTATTCACACTTACTTCACAAACCAGAAAGACGTTTGGAAACATGTGATGACATCTTTCTACAGGCTCTTTTCATGATAGTAGGTCTAGGAATCTAGGAAAAATCTAGGAAAAACAAGAAAATGACCCAGTTTTCTTCATCCGCATGTCATTGTAGTGTTCCGTTATGTTCGGCTAATCAACATTTAGTTTAGTTTAGTCATTAAACAAATGAGACAGTGCACAATATACATTAACCTTAACAGGAGAGATGCATTGTACCAGGTTATAGCTCCAGTGCTAATTTCCACCTGTCGTCCCTGGACAGGTTGATGTTATAGTTCATAAAATCAAATGTCCGGAGCATCATAACAGTTCTGTATCATCATTCACACCCAGTTCTCTCAGCATCTTAAAAACATCATCCTTATCAAAATCATCATTCAGTTCATTCACTTCAGAACATCACTCTCTCCAGACAGTCAGTCCACACTACGGGCACAGAAAACGGTTTGGTTTGAAAGGAGCCACTGTTTCTCCAGGCGTAAGAAAGTGCCATATTTTGCACATGTGATCAGCTCTGTTGGTAACATGTAACACAGACGGATGGCCGCACATGAAATGGCTGAGATTCCAAATGCTGTCCTGCGTTTGATCGACACACTTGCCTCACCCTCCGGCAGAGCCTGAAATCCTTAAAGACACTGACATGATACAAGACATGACAGCGGCTTTTTCTGCAGGAGACATGCGCATTAGAGCGTGAAGTGGCCCAGTCTGATAATCTCTCTGTAGTGTACCTTCAAACGTGATTAATAAAGCTAAAAAAAAATGTGAGCTTAGCAACATACTGACTTTAAGTACCCAAACCTGTGACCCCGTGCCGTGGCTGTCCCCCGGGCCACGCTTTGGTCGTGTGACTGGGCTCAGATCTGCTCTCGTGGAGGTAGACACAGATCCATCTTCGCGGCTGGGTGCTTCCTCTTTGATAGTCTTCTCCATATTCATGAGTGATCCCAGCAGAAGGTTATTATCCATAAATGTCATTCTATAATTAATTAATCCTGTCTGCCGCTTGCTCTCCCTGCCTCATTAGACAGCCACTGATTGTATTCAAATGCACACGTCCAAATATACGACTTTATTTCAAACTCTATCACCAGAAGACACTTTTACCAGAAATTTCCAGTTTTATTAAAGAAAAATATCTACCGCAATCTTAAAAATAGCCTGAAATCTCTTGCATATTTTCCCACAATGCATTGAGGATCACCTTGGTATGGCAAATGCGATCCAATGAGACAATTATGGGGGGTAATTTGGTCCTGTTTAGCAAATTGATTTTTAAAGCTACCCCAGAGGCAAATCTATTACAGTTGCTTTTGAGTTTTAATAAAAATCCAATATGAAATTTGCACAACGCCACGAGGAATATGGCGCGGTGTATTAGCCTAATAGAGACGAATACAAACCCACACCACATAGGTTGACATTTACCCCACCGCGCTCTCAATTATTGTGCGTTTTATCCGCAGGCAACACGCGGTTATGCATGGTGCTTTTTTTAAATGGTAATAATCTATAGGCTTTAAGGGACGCTGGAGCACATGCTAGGCCCGTATGTGCTGCGTGCTAACTCACCAGGCTTAGAGCTAACAAAGATAGCATCGTAATTGGAAGCTCTTGTGTCAAATCCCAGCAGGCGGCAGGGGTGAAGTGGTCCAGAGCAGGAAGCAGACTTGCCTCTCGCCTCCTAAGAACATAAGGAAAATGTATTACTAAATGTCAAGAGTTTTGTAGCGAAGAGGGGCTAGACTTAATGATCAGAAATTTGGTCTATTCTATTAAGCTACAAGCCGGTTTAAAGGTCGAGATCAGCATTAAAACCGGATTAGGTTAAGAATGTATTTACAATCTGTTCTATTGTATTACTGCTGTTAACTGGTGGTAAAATTCATTAAATGCAATATCTCTGTGAAAAAGGTCAGCCATCTTGGATCTTCTCTGGCATCTGAAATAAGAAATCATTAAACCAACTTTAGATATAGCTCCATCAGAAACAACTGTTGGTAGAGATTGCCTCCACCAGCTCATTCGAATGCTCTTAAATCTTTTACTACAAACTTAAAGATGTTCTATGTCATCAGATAGCACCACCGTCAAGTTACAGGTCAGATCTGTGGGGAGTAGGGTGACCAGACCTTCCCACAACAGTCCCTGTTTTGACCCGTGTTCCCTGTCCCAGCAGATTTATCCAAAACCAGTGATTTGTCCCAGTTTTATACAAGAAAATGTCCCAGGTGTCCCTATTTTTCAAACCCAAATCCACTTTATTTTTATAGTACGTTTTATGAACAAAGCCATTTCCAAAGTGCTGTAGAGATATCATAAAATGAAGACAACTAAAAGGTAAATTGCTAAAATTGGGTCATACCAGTCCTAAAACAATAAAACCAGTAAAAGCAAATAAAAGCAAAACCATAAAAATCATAAAATAGCAGTAAATAAGTAAAATAAATGAAAGACACAGAAGAGCACACAAGTCACACGGTGTTAAAAGTCGGAGAAGAAAAGTGGGTCTTAAGACGAGACTTAAAACACTCAGACCATTCCAGAGTTTGGGGTCAGCCACAAAGAAGGCCCCGTCCCCCCGGTTTTAAGTCTTGTTTTAGGCACCACAAGCTGGAACTGGCCCTTGGACCTCAGAGCACACGCTGGGAAGGAAATTTGGATGAAGTCTGAAACGTACTTTGGGGCCAGTCCATTCAAAGCTTTAAAAACAAACAATAAAATCTTAAAATCAACTCTAAAACAAACTGGAAGGAAATGATTTTTGACCAATTTGACACCTGCCAACAGTAAAGAGGGGCATAAATAGTAATTTGATTAGGTAAAATACAAAAAACCATGCTTAAAAATCAACAAAACACAAAGAAAATGTGACTATTCTCATTCACATTAGTCATGAATGGGCCAAGTGCATAACAATTTTCCTTAATTACGCACTTGTTTCACAACCACCCCAAACTGAGAGTGTCCTAGTTTTTTATTTTGTAAATCTGGTCACCCTAGTGGAGAAGCGACCCCAATAACAGTCAGAATATAATCGATGTAATTTATAATTTCAAGTTATTTGTAGCAATAAAAACGTAACTAAATAAATGCACTGTATAGCTGTGTGTAATGCTGTACTGTGGAACATTCCGAGCAAAGTGTCTATTCCAAATCTCAGTGGGACTTTCCTGGTTAAATAAAGAAGAAAGAAAAAGTCAAACATTTCCATCACAGACATTCTAGCTGAAAAGTTACAGCACTATTCATTTGAGATGCTTTCTGATTTGCTTGACATTGAAGATTAGAATGTTTAATCCTTTGATATAGATACAAATGAAGAGGTCACTTAAAGTACATTCCAATTAGTCCAGCACTGTTTTAATTATAGACGAGCGGGTGATGCAAGGACAGACCAAAGTTAGACACGGTCCATTAGAGGTTGTTCATTTCTTCATGCGGTCCACATTGCTCAAGTAAATGTAGTTATAGCTTAAAGATTTATGTTTTATTTCACAGCCTGAGGCCATAGTTTGCATGTCCACAGCCAAATGACCATGAACTAGCAAGCTAACAAATGGATGCGAATTCGAGTAAAACTAAGCATTTTCAAGCCAACTGTTTAGGACATTTCATCTTTTAAGCACTAGCAATAACCCAGACTACTGAAACTTACCTTAATACATGTTTTAAGTCCAGAACCATGCTCAGATAAAAGCTCTAAAACAAAATGAACCCACACACACATTTTAGCCACCCATGATTTGAATAGCTGTTTTAAGTTAGCATGGGGCTAACTCAAAATGGACGTGTCTTCTTCACCAACAGATGACAGCGCCACCTAGAGAACAGATATTGTAATTAAACTAGCACTGAATTTTAACAATCTCTGTCATTCCACTGGTTTATTTAATATTGTCAGTAAGTTACATGTTTTATTTTTGTAAAGATAATTCATATGTGAATGAGAGCAATACATTTTGGAATCAACATTATTAGACTGCTCAGGTTAGAAAGGTTAGAAATCCAAATTCCAGAAGACCAAACCCAACTGAAGGAGCTGCCGCTTACAAATTCACAGCTACATAATGAGAACATCCATATTTGTAATGAATTCTCACTGTCTTCTCTTGTCAGCGAAAATTCTGATTTTGTAACAGCACACGAGGAACTCAGAGACGGCTCAGAATGTGAATTTTCAGAAGAGGATGTCTATTTTACTGCAAATGATGAGGAACCTGAGGAGGAGTTCTTTTATACTCTGGAGCTTTTAAATAGTGAACAGGAACTTAGAGCTACTGTTGCACTATTAGAACCCAGTGACTCTGAAAGCTCTGAAGGCTGGGATGACTCAGATGAAGTCTACTTCACAGCAGATGAGCAGGAAGCCAAGGGGTTCTTTGATGCTCTGGAGTGAAGAGTGAAATTCAACCTACTTTCTCTCCATTAGAACCCAATGACTCTTAGAGTGTGAGGGTATGTGCTGACTCAGATGAAGCTCAGATGAAGAGGACAGTGAGGACGACTTCATAGCCACTCTGAAAAGAATCATACCGGCTTGTCAAAGCCTGATCTCGTCAGATCTCACAAGCTCAGCAGGGCCGGGCCTGGGTACTTGGACGAGAGACTGCTGGGAATTCCACGTGCCAGAGTGAGGCGCCAGTGACAAAACCATCCTTGCGTTCTTAAGCAAGATACTTCACCCACATTACCTAGTAAGAAAATGTTGTGTTTGTGACTTATCTAATGACAGGTGATGTATTCTATGATACATCAAAGATCAAATGCGTTGGCTGCAGAGTATTGTCAGTTTAGATAGTGAAGTCAGGCTTCTTCTCTGCTTGTTTCCAGCCCAAACCCACAAGAGGACACACACACACAGGGGGCGCACCCTTCTCAGCAAGTGACACACAAAAAGATTCCCTTTTACCAAAATGTATTAAATGAATAGTGCACATGAAGAAGGCCGAGGGCCCAGTGTCCCCTTTGTAAGAGCAGCTCACAGATGTGATGATGAGCGATGGTGAAGCAGCTTTATCTGCTCCATGACCAGGAGAACAGACCACTGAAGGATCAGGGAGCCCAAGCTCAGTGAATATGTGCCACAGATCCTCCGCTCAGACCCTGGATCCTTAAAAATGTTGGACTCAAATTACACAACATTTAACCCAAAAGTCTGAGAAATAAATCAAATAAAAAATCTGGCCTGTACTAGCACTTTTTCTTCTATAAAAATAAACATTTAGAAGAATCAAAGTAGAAGAGGACAATTGCTAGTTTAAACCAGTTTTTTATTAAATTCTTCAACCCAATAAAATAAAATAATAATGAATAAAAATTACACAAATGTGAATTTACTGATATAATGAATAGACCCTCAATCATTTTTCAGTTTCATCTGTGTTATTAGTTTCCATAGAAACAACAACAGCATCGTAAAAAAGAAGTAACAGCACGTCCTGAAATGTGAAAGTGTCATCTCAAAATATCAGCAAAATAACAATGTATGCCTGATGTTCACAAACAGCACTTGTTCACTGATGGGGTGGGCTGTTTCTCTACACTAAATGTACGCAGTGTCTCAAAGTGTTTTTCTTCATGATCAGACAGTATATTAATGCTGTTTTTATGTATAACTACATTTTAAGAGCGTATATTTTTGGTTAAAGCGTTAATGACCCCCTCCTTGCACATTCTTGATACATTAATATGATATCAAACATAGTTAATGCACATTTTATAGCCTTCTTTTATCATCCAGTAAAGTTTCTTATCACTATATAGAAAGGGTGAATGTAATTAAACTTCGGTCTGCCTGTTATTATTTCCACAATGTTTACATCAAATGCTTTATCATTATCCACATGAGCTCCAGTGATAATTAAGCCAGCTTATAATTGCTAAAGTCTAATTGAGTGTGATTATGTGAAATAGTTCTATTAGTATTTCTTACTATTATATTAATAAGGCAGAGGACGAGTAGTGAGAGGTAGGCCTGTAGTTGAATTAAAACAGATAAATGCAAATATTACCCTGATGAGTGTTGTGGGTCAGGAAAAACAACCCAGCGTGAAGTGCACATCATTTAAAAGCATTTACAATTATTTAGTCATAGAGCAGCCTATGGAGATTTGTGGTACAGAGTGTAGAAACTGGGAAAAAACTGAGTGGAAAAAGCTTGGGGCCATGTGAAAAATTTGCTGACAAAAATGTGAAGTCAGAAATCAAAGAAATTCACATTTTACTTTTACAAATTCTTAAAAAAGGACTTTGGAACTGAAGATTAAACATAAAGAAACAGAATAACAGAAATGAAGGATCTTATTGCTTTGTTGATAATATTGCTTTAAACTTGTATATTTCCATGGAAACAAGCAGATGACATTGCCCTTTACAGTTACAGGTCAGATCTGTAAAGAAGCAAGCCTAGTCACTGTGAATGCATTTTTTTTTTTTTATTCAGAAACCTGTAATTAAATGACCTATAGTACACTATTACGCTCATTTTGTGTAATATACCTTTAATAATATTGCTTTAAACCTACATATCTCCATGGAAACAAGCAGATGACGCTACCAGTTAAAGTTACAGGTTAGATCTGTGAAAAGCCAACGCACACTTACTGTGAATGCATATTTTTTCAAGAAGTTTAATGGCATATTGTGGAACATACCAGACAGAGCAAAAACATCTCCATGGAGACAAGCAGGCGGCGGACAGACCTCTATTTGGAAGTGCACCTTTAAAGCAATAATAAGGACAAAGTTACGCATAACCACATCAAACACTCAAACTGTAAATTACAAAGCTTTTTATACGCTTTATTTACTGTCCTTTGTCCACTCTCATGTCCCTCTCCTAAACCCACTGTCTCACTATGAAAGACTTACAACCTGCTATAACTCAGATCTGTTGTTCTGTAAAACCCTTCCTCCAGTGTGTCCTTGAGGTCCGGCCATAGTACGCCCATTCGTCATCCCAAAAGCTGCATCGCGACCATAGAAACGACAAGCTGAAAACTGTTTTATCTCCTGACATTTGGTTGTTTTAATACAAGATACAAGATTCTATGGGTGATTTATTTGACTGTGAGGAAGACATCAGAAAAGACCATTTAAGGAAGTCATGCAGAGTTGATCAAACTGAAGTCGGGGAAACTCCAGGGGATTCTTCAGTCACAAAGTTGGAACAAAAATGCTGATAAAGACCGTTGCATGTAAGTAACTTTATGGAGGTGGCACGTAACCTGTATGATTCCAGGGAAATAGAAAGTTAAAGCCATACTTCAGAACATTTTCCATAGAGGTAGATGCGTTTTATGCTATGTGTGGAATGTTATTGTCAGCAACTTTTTTTCAAGACAAATAAGAATCAAGTTTGTGGGGATGCAAGCCTGGTCATAGGTAAACACTGTCAATTCCAGACTATAAGCCGCTACTTTTTTCTCACACTTTGAACCTTGAGGCGAATAAAACGATGCGGCGAATATATGGACAAATTCTTTGTTTGGCACTTTGTCCATTCATATATAAAGTCTATGGTTTGGCAACACAGAGGATCCACGCAGCCTGTGTGCAGAAAACACCGCTGTCTGTGCAATTACACATGGATCTAGGGTTAACATGAAGTTGCTACACGAAAGATATTGTCAGTGCACTCAAATAGTTTATCGCTGTGTGATAAAATAAGTTATTGATGCTAAATGAACATTAGTGAGGGGGATACGTCTTACCCGTATGCATAAATGACGAGAAGAAATGTCTCAAACTTCAGTAGCCGGACATCCACTCATACGTGATTCATAAAAATAGCCTAGCCCCCCGAGACAATCTGAAATCTGCTGAAATCCTCCAAGACACTGACATGATACAGACAGGACAGCAGCTCTTGCAGGAGTCGTGCGGCGTAGAGCGCGAGGAGAGATGAGGCCGATGCACCGAGGAAGATGCTTGTTTGTGTTTCGAACAGTTATTTTGTGTTTCATACACACACTCTCCATATGAAAAACACATAAAGAAATGCAGATGATGCAGCTTTTAACTTAACGGCAACTGATGTGGCTGTCAAAGAAGGAAACAGAGCTGCTGAACTTGAGCTCGGCATCAGTGAGTCAATGACGAACTGACTCAATGCAAAAAGACGACAAAAGCTTTAGGCAATAAATAGGCAATAAAAACAGACCGAACTTGAAAATATTCTTGAAGATGTGGACAACTGCGGCTTATATTCAGGTTATATATGTACAATTTAAAAAGTTTGTTCAAATTTTGTTGATGGGGCTTATATTCAGGTGCGCTCAATAGACCGGAAAATGCGGTAGTAATTTCACATGTTTATACAGAGCATTTCCAACTTCAAGGCACTCTAAGAGCTTTACATCAAGGAACCACTCACCTATTCATACACCAGTATATGCAGACACTGGGAGCGAGTAGATTAAGTGTCTTGCTCAAGGACAAAACATCATCATTCATCTGTGGGAGCTGAACTTGCACCATCCTGTGGGTCAGTGGGTATGACTACTCTACTAATGATGTTTATGACAAGAGCAAGATTCAAACCACCAAACTTCAGATCAGTTTTTGAAAAGTTTTTCAATGCAATAAAAACAACCAACATTAGTATTTTTGGCAAAACAGTTACATACTGGGGTTTAAATAATGTCTTGTTCACCTCTTTAAATAGGATTATGAGTGCCAAAGAGCTGTAATTAAATGAATACTTTGTACATGTACTGTGGCACACTGCATTAAAATATAGACGTCATTAGAAAAG